CAGCAAAATCTTATCTACATTCATAAAGTTTCATCTAAATATCGATCATTCAACTTACTTCAAAGTTATTGTGCTAAATTAATTGATGAAAATCCAGAGTCATTTTTAAAATCTTATGACATTGCAGGAATGGAGAAATCAAGGTTTATAACTATGTTGAAAAAAGATGACTTGGAGATGAACGAAATTGATATTTGGGATTGTGTTATTCAATGGGGAATAGGACAAAATCAAGAATTGAAAAAAAAATTTTCAGACTGGAATAAAGATGATTTCAGAAAATTGAAAAATATTTTAGAAGATATTATTCCATTTGTAAGGTTCAATCAAATAACACCTGTAGATTTTAATAATAAAATCAAACCTTATAAAAAAATTTTTGATAAGGAAATATATGAAGAACTTCTTCAATACTACTTAACTAATATGCAGCAATCAACATTATTACTTCAAAGTGCTCATAGAACAGGAGAAGGATTGTTTAATCTACAAATGAAATCTTTAATTGTTAATTGGATTAATGAAAAAAAGGGCATATATAATTCACACAGCTTGCCTTATAAATTTATTTTAATCTTTCGTGGATCTCGAGATGGATTTTCAAAATCAAATTTTGAAAAAAATTGTTTTGATATTGAGAAAACAGTTTTTATTATGAAACTTAAAGATACAGGTGAATTGATTGGGGGATATAGTCCAGTTTGCTGGAATTTAAAAGGAAAATCATCTGAAGAGACTTATTATATCAGGACAGATAAAAGTTTTATTTTTAAAATTGATCAAAATCTAATAGATAATTCAATATTAAGTAGAGTCAAAAATCCTGAAGTTGCAATAAAGCATGTTGGTCAAACTTTTTATTATATTCAAGATGACAAAAGAATTTCTGGATATTCATTAAGTTTTCGTGATTTAGCATTATGTAATGAATCTTATTGTTTTTATAAATTTCATAATGATTTTTATGAAGTTAATTTGAATCTTAAAAATAGCAACAAACAATTTCATTTGTTAGAAGAATTTGAAATGTATAAATTAGTACAGATAAATTAATTATTAAATTAAGGTAATCTATTAGGTTCTATTTGATTTCATTGGCTGTTTATCATCACAAATTTATCACATAAAAAATCTATCTCAAATAGCATTTGGGATGTAAAGGAATCTGAGGACTTCCAAACAAAATTAAGTTTTTTGCATATTACGTGTATTACTCTACAATATAAATGTTACTCCGTGATTAGCCTGAGTGTTTTCCGTTATTAAACTTACTGTTTTTTTCGTTATATTTATATTATTATTATGATTAATAAATATACATTCCGTAATTTTTCCATAATAATAATGATAACGTACGTAATGAAGAATAAAAAAGTAATACAATTTATTAATAAATTTGAATCGATTGAATTGAATTGAATTGAATCAGTTCTAATCAATTCGAATCAAATTATATATTCGAATCAGTTCGAATTGAATTTCATTGATTTATTTGGAGCCTTATTATTAAATAATTAAAGATTACCTCACTAAAAGAATATAAAAGGAACAAAAAATAACAATAAAAATAGAAACAAATATAAAGCGAATATTAATTATGCATGAGATCAGCATGAATTCATTTATTAGTATTAGAGATAGACTTATTATTGCCACGAAAATACAAAATTCAAAGACGAAAAGGACGGACATTTTGTTGTTTATTAAATTATGATATGATATATGATTATACATGAATTAAGAAAATTACATCATTATTTATACATGTCAAAAGGTTCATCATCTAGTTCTTTGATTTCCTGAAACTATACATGGGATGGTAATTGTTTTGCCAAAAACATAATACGTAATTACGAAATTATTATTATTTACGAAATTAATTACGCGTGACGAAATTAATTACGAATGACGAAATTAAATGGCACCTATTATTTATCCCGTTATATATACTAGTATAATGACATAATTTATCAACTTTTTTTTTAGAATTATAGAATTTATTCTAGTACTAAATGCCAGTATAATGGGAAAATCATTCTGATCATTTCTGAAAAAAACAAGGAAATTAAAACTTATGCCAGGATTAAAATTGACCAGCATCATGGAAAATTCTGGCAACACTTCTGTATAATGCCGGTCAATTTTGACCCAGCGTAAGTTTTAATTTCCTGATAATAAAAATTATAAAATCACAAGACAATGATTCTCATATTAATATGGCTTTTATATGAACTCCCGTTATAATGACAATCTCGTTATGCTGACATTTTTTGCTTTTACGGAGAGTGTTGTTATAACGGAGTGACTTGTATTATGATATTCCCAATAATTTATTCGTAATTATGGTTGGCTCGGTCTAAAGACCTCCTATTTCTGCGCCACGTGGCCAAATTTCAAAAATAGCAATTTTGTAATTTGTTCAAAAATGCAATAAAAATTTTCGAAAATAGGACTTCACGTGATTTTGGGTTTAAAAATTTTTTTCGTACTGCCAAATTTAGATATGATGGTCATGTATTAGTCTAAATTTAGAAATGATTTTTGTAGTTTGGTCTAAATTTAGTAATGATCCTAGCGGCCAAATTTCTCGTAAAGTACATGTTCTAAAAAAGAATAGAACTCTACAACAAATGATTTTTTTGAGAATATCTCATTATTACATTAAAACTAAAGACCTATTCTATCAACTAATAACGTTATTTTTTTAAAAGATAGGACAGAAAGTGACTTCTATACTTTTAAAATTTATGCAAATCTTAGGAGGTCTTTAGACCGAGCCAACTATAGTTTCGTCATCCGTAATAATTTCGTCACCCGTAATACGTAATTAATTTCGTGATCACGTTTTTAATTACGTATTACTACGGTAATTAGTAGTGATGTTAGCCGTTTAAAAATCCTTAGCCGGCTAAGCCGTTTACTACCTAAATTGGTGATTTTATTTATATAACAAGAAAGTAACGCAGAAATCTATTACCAAATTTAGAGATTATGCATGCAGATTATTAGCCGGCTAACATCACTAGTAATTAGGCAATTACTATCTCATATATACCTAGACTCTAATTGTTCTAATTAAATGTATTCCTTAAACATTATTCGAACCTTCTGTGTAGAATTGTTTAAGTTATTTCAAAGTGATCAAATTATTTAAATTCCTACGCTTAAACAAAATAAGGTCCATTACAATCTAGAATTCATTCTCAATAATTTCTGAGTTAATTATTTTATTGGTTTATTACAGTCAAACCTTGCCACAGCGGATTCATGGTTCCAGTCAAAAAACCCCGTTATGACACATTTTATTAATGCTAATAAAATATTTAAATCCGCTGTAGCGAGGTCCGCTGTGACAAGGGTTGACTGTATATTTGAATGTTCCCAACTCGGGCAGATAACAAAGTACTGCAGAGAAATTGTGATCAGGGGTGGTAGGAGCCATTACCATAGATTGATAGCCAAAGAAGCTATTGAAATTATTGATTATATTTGAGGAGGAAAGCAGTTGCATTTTGAGATTAGAAAAGTTAAAGAGTATTGAAATTGTATTTGCATTAATTTAATTGGAATATTGTTATAAATAAAATATTGGGATTAGTGGTGAAACTCGGACACGATCTCACAATAGTGTTACATTCAAATTATCAAGTAGATGATTTATTTCCCTTTATTATATGATAATTATTTAAATAAGTTATCCAAATATCTTAAAACTTATGGAAATAGTATATTCAATTCCATTTTCTAAATTGTGAAAGGGGTTTTAGCAAATAGAATATTGCATTTATTAATGACGGTTGGTTTAGAAGAATGAAATGAATAATTTTTAAGAAAATTCTCAAAGTTCCTTTTTTTCTCAGGGAATCTACCAAAAAAAAAATTTTTTCAGGGTAAATCCAATGATCTACAACAAGGATTAACCTCACCATTTGAGACGTCGATTCTAAAGTTAAACTTCCAACCGGTAAACCATGCATGACCCAATTTACTAATTAAAATTGGGGTTACCAAACACCCAGACACCTATTAAAAGGTTGAATCTCATATTTTGGGAACTTAGATTATTGGATTGGGTGAGAAAGGATAATATTAGGATTATTTTAAGCCTGAAATTGGATTATGATTTCTAGAGCCAAAAATTCAATGTTAAAATCATATTTGCGATAACCGAATTAAATATTTGGGCCGCATGAATAAAATTTTGCGTCTTCGTTGATATTTTATGTTATTAAAAAAAGGCGTTAATAAATTAATCCAAAAGAAGAATACTACTAACTCTTCAAGTGTACATTAATCCAACAAATTTTTTTAATAAACAAACAATGGCCAATTAAAAGCATTATCCGCTACAATATTTATGTTCAAACGTAAATTTGTACAATATTAATATTGTAAAATATAAAATTTACACAATACTTGCAAATTTTTTTTAAAAGAAGGATACAGATTTATAATAAGCGTCATACTTTATATAGTTGTGATTATTTTCCAATCTATACTAAAAAAATTTAAAAAAAAAACAGGTTGTTTATAGTTCACTGTTGAAATCAGCTTTGATGAATGTGATTGGTTTACCAAGTTCACACAAGCACACACTTTCTCTATAGATGCCTACTAACATCAAGAAGTTTATACGGTCCTATCTAACGTGCATATTGCTGATTTTTTTAATGTGAAGGCGTTGTTGATTTTTTGTTTTTTATCAAAGAAAAAATAGCCGTTAAAGAAGAAATAATTTTTATAAATGAAACTATATTACCTCGTTATTATTATTATTATTATTATCATCATCCATCGAATATGACGCATGTATCTTGGAAATATATAACTATGTTTGATCACGTGAACATATATAAAAAATGCTATTGTATTATATGAAAAGTTCAAAAAAAAAAAATTTTAATTTATTTATTATTTACAGTTTTTTTTTGAATAAAATAAAATTGTTCTTTTTTTTTTTAATTTGGAAAAATGTTTTTTGCTAATTTTTTGTTAAACAACTATTGTGCTACTTTCGTAACAACAACGATTTCTGTTGTTGTTATTATTATTATTATTATTATTATTAAATTGATTAAATAATGATAATAATAGCTTCTTATTTTTTTTACATTTAATTGATGTTTCATCTTTATCCTTTCCATCAGTGTAATTATAATTATTATAATAATAATAATCATCTCCAACATCTTCATCTTCAGTTTCAGTTTCATCGTCACTATATTCTAAATTTTCATCTGAACTATCGTTTTCACAAGCAAGTATCTTTTTCATTATCAATTCCAATTCATCGTAGTCTAACTCTTCATCCTCGTCTGATTCATCAGATTCATCATAATCAGATTCATCATAATCCAATTCATATAATTCATTCACATTCTCGTCCAATTCATTCACATTCTCGTCCAATTCATTCTCATTCTCGTCCAATTCATTCTCATTCTCCTCATCATTATTTGTATAATCCCAACCTTCTAAATAATATCCAAATTTCGACGAATTATCCTCATACTCCTTATTATCTATATAACTATGATCATTACTATTTTGTTCACCTTCATCCTCACTACTAGTGCTGCCGCTGTTTATATTACTAATAATTCTAACATCATTAATGTCATTACTAACTTCATCACTATCTGTTAAACCATCTGTTAAAAAAGGATATTGGTTATAATGAATTGATTTTGGCATGTTTTCTTCTTTTTCTTGATATCCATACTCAGTTTCATACTCGGTTAAATTTTGAGGATGATGATGATGAACTTGAGTTTGTGATTTTTGTAGAGTTTGAAAAAATGGGCTTTTAAGTTGATTTTCATCATCATAATTATCATAATCATAATAATCATTTACAATACCACTATTACTAATATCATTTTTACTATTACTATCGCCTTCATTAAAATTATCATCATAATCACCATCATCATCAATTTTACTGTCAATATCATTCCTTATACTAATATTATCCTGGTTTATGATGCTGCCACCATTATCCTTACCATTACCGATAGTGTTAACAGGATAAATTTTATTCCTGCAATTATTCCTATTATTATTGTTATTACGATAATGTTCTGGTTGTTTTTTTCCTTCATCTTGAGAAACAAAAGTAAATGCAAATAGTGCAGAAGGAATAAACGAGGAGACGAACCCAATAAGTGCTAATCCAATCGATTTAATAGCCATTGTTAATACTATTATTATTTTAAAATAATAATAATTAAATAGAAAATAAATAGATAAGTAGGAAAAAATTTTTAAGAAAAGATTTTTTTGAATTTTTTTGAATTGAAAGACAGATTAAGGGATTAATTGGATTTTGATATAAAGATTTTTGATGATTGATTTGATTTAATTTGATTTGATTTATTGCGTTTCGATTAAGTTTTTGATTTCAGGAAAAAAATAAATAGTAATAACAAGTCTTTATGAGTTTATAAGATTTTTTAATAAATATATATATATATATATATATATATACACATTTATATATAACAAGGTAGGTGGTGTATATATATATAAATAAACTGCGCGTGTGTGAATATGCGTGAAAAAATATATATATTAATTATTAAAAAGAAATACTATATCATGATAGGTATCAAAAAAAAACAAACTAAACTTGATCGAGTAAGCGACGGATACAAAAAGCAAAAGAAAAGAAAGGAAGGAGGAAAAAATAAGAAAAATAGATAATTAGAATAATAAGCGTGATAATTATCTAATTATTTATTTTATTATTTAATATATTATAGTATCCTTGTTATTCTTTATTATTCGGAAAGAGAAATTCACGCGCATTTTTTATAAACAAACAAATAACTTTATTTGTTGTAATCAGCCAGCTTTTTATAGTGTAAATAGATGGATAGATTTTAAAGATTTCAGTACAACATATCACGCTACCAAATTTGTACAAATTTTCGATGAGCTTTCACGTGATATTTTAATACCTACTGTTTATATTAGTAACAATTAGCAGTAATGGAAAAAGAAATAATTGCAAGATTTTTCACTCTTTTCTTTAATAATTTTATGAGATTTCCAAACACCAATTAAAAAAACACATCAAAATCAAATTTATCAATCTATTTTGAGCAAATCATTGATTTATGCTGACTGCACTTGTATGATCATGGTATTTATTAATATTTTTTATTAATGTTTGTTTACTCCTTCATTTTCGGTGCTTCGCCTTCTCCTACTGTTTGCATATCAATTTAATTGATTTTTTATTATAAGAAATAAATAAATCCTTAAATATTTAATCTAAAATAAAAAATAAGGGAACAAATTAAAAAAAAAACAAAGTCAATTAATTAATTTGTGATTTATTTGTTTTTTATTTTTATTTTTATTTATATTATTTATATGATTTATATTTATATTATTTATATTATTTATATTATTTATATATTTATTTTTTGATATATATATATATATACATATACATATACATGTATGTATGTTGGGCCTTTATAAAGAATAATATAATGATAAAGTAGAAGGAAAGAAAGTTTTTTGAAAAGAAAATTTATTTGATAATTTTAATTAAATTACGAATAAAATGTTCAAAAAAAAAATGTTAAAAAAATCGACATAAAATCTTAACTGTAAGTTTTTTTTTTAAAAAAAATTTTTATATGTTTATTTATATAAAAAAATGATTATATAATACATTATTTTTATTTTAAGTTTTATTCAAGTTAAAAAACCTGTTTAAGATGGCTTGAGAGCTATTTATACAATAAAAAATTACAATAAAAAAAAATAAATAAACCTAAATAAAAAAAATAAACAAAACAAATTGTCAAAATTGGAAATAAGTCAAATATTAACAAATTGTCTTCGATTAATTATTATCGTATGATATTATAAAAATCAATTACGTAGCTTACGATAAAGGTGAAGATGACTTGTTTTTGATGTGTGGAGGAGAAAAAGAGAGAAGATGGTTTGGTAACGTGTAGATTTTCTAATAATATTAATATATTAGCATCATACTATAATCATCTTATTATATATTATAACAATTATATCACATATGGTTTGTTCTAGAAGAAACATTTCTGGGAGGATAAAGATTTAGTGAAACAATAATAATATTATATAATGAATGGTTTATTTAAATTTGGTTAGAAAATTAAATTAAATTAACACGAAGACAATACGCTATTGTCCATTAAATACTAAGATAAAGTGAACGAACAAAGAAATTTTAGGAATCAAATTAGCAGCAATTGTTTAATACCATAATAGTGATGTCATATAAATTATCGATCGAGTTTGTGTTATCGGGCCTTTTGATTTTTGTTATATTATTATATTGTTTGATTTCTAAAATTTCCCTACTGAATAAATGTTACATATGATTTACTCTTTAATTGAGTTTAAAACTTAAATTAAATTTTAAATTTCCGATTTCATTAACAAACCCTCTTTGTCTGTAACATAAAAATAAACTTCTCTACTAACCAAATGTTCATTAATATTAATGAATTTTACCTAGTTAAGCTACCTTTACCAGTTAGTTTATTCTAACTATATTTAGCATATAAAGAAAAAGATTATCAAGATAAAAAATATTGTTATTATTAGATTAATAGTAGATAATAAAATAAACAATTAAATTAATTAATTAAAAAAATTTGTGATTAGTAGTCAACAGGTGGGGAGGAGGTAAGTGCTTTTCCTGTAGATCTGATAATAATATTGTAGTTATGATTAATTTTAATTTTATATTATATTTATTATATGTTATATTATTATTATTTATACTATATTATTATATTGTGTGATTTTTTTAAAAAATTTTGTATCACATTTTTTTTATTACACAAAATTTAAAATTAAAAAAATTTGAACCCTATACCCAAGTAAAAGCCTACTTCTGCGTCTCTCTTTGTTGTATTACTTTAGATCTACATATCGGGCCGTAATATACTTTGAGGGTCCCAAATTTTGTTTTGATGCGCCCACAACATCACACATTTTACTAATAACCACCTTACATTCGCAAGTAACTTAATGACATTCATCTACAAGATTACAAATTTTCTTGTGAGCTTGGTGATCTTTTATGTTTATTTGTTTTATCATGAGCAGGATCCTGTTCTTTTCATTCTATAACCTCACCACTTTAGTTACATTTAATCATGAAGTTCTCACTTCTGCATCAAGAGAAATGACGCTAGTACCTCTATTCTCTTAAACCACCAAAAATTCAGGACCTTGGTATCAGCCTTAATTTAAAATGGTTTGGGATACACAAGCAGACAGAATTCATCAAGATGATTTTGGTTCATATGGTGAAATTACAGTCATACTTTTTTAATTAATATCTTCCCATTTGATTTAATTCTTTCAAGGAATGAAATTTGCATCTTATTCTTTCCTCCATAATGATAGTTGACTGTGATTTGCCTTTTTTTAGATCTAAATTTTAATTAAAAATTTTCTTTTTTTGCAGCAATATTTGTATGTTTGAATTTTGATCAATCATTTGCTGCTGCATCTCTAATACCATAAAGGGTAATTTGAGATCAGGATCTTCAAAAATTTTCTGATAATTATCACACAAACATATATTGGGTTTTTATATTTATAAACATTTGTTATATATATGTCCATTGAGCAGCACTGATCCATTTTAATATGGTCTGTTTCCTCCAAATTGGAGATAAAGTTTTGATTTTAAGAGCTTTCCCAAGCAGAGGTTGTTTAGAAGATGAAGGGATGAAATCACATCCCTTTAAATTATCTAGTTTGAGTTGGGCACAGTGTCTTACTAGTGGTTTTAAAGGTAACCAACACCAGTTTGTGAGTTCTTGGGTGAACTCGTGTCAGAATGATTCATGTCTCTTTGCATTTGAAAATAGTCACAGCCAGATTAGATTGCATATAATTTTTGAGATTATAAAAGAAAGAAAATTGTAAAAACAAAATTGGTTTTTTTTTTGGTAAAGATTTACATCGATTTTCATCATAACGGGCATTTCTAAACAGCTGATCCACTTTTCATTATTCATTCTATATATATATATATATATATATATATAATATAATATAAAAATAAAATAATTGTTTATTTTTATCATCATCGGTCTATATCAAGTTAATAGACTGTAACATATATGAAGGTCATATATTTATGGCAGTTTTTCATATAATACCTTTGCTGATCATGTTATTTGAAAATTTTGTCAAAAACCACTTTTGTCATAGTTACTTATGCTTTCAGAAATAAGTGGACGATTTCTTGAAAATTTTTGAATAATCCATTGATCGAAAATCGAAAAGATAAAATTAGATGGTCATCTATCTACTAGGGTCATATTTTTTGTTTGTATGACAAAACAAATCATAGGGCATGTATGTATTACAGTCTACTTTTAAATATCAACGAAGAAATTCAAAAGATACCGCTAAATTGAGACTCGCCGTACAACTGCAGACATTTGTAGACATATATTCATTGAATAATTATTATAGTATAGTCTAGTTCTTTTCTCTTTAATTACCAATTTCTTCCGCTTCCCTTTAATTCCTTCCATAATTAATTCTCCCTCGATCAACAACAACAATGTTGATAATTATTGTTATTGTTAATAAAATATAAATCCGATTGTTATATTTTTATTATTTACTTGTAATTTACCATGAAATTTTTTCTGCTATTAACTCCAATTTCCACTTGTTTGAGTGACAAATAAATATTATTAAACAATATAAACAATATATAAATATTAATATAAACAATTAATTAAAAAAAAACAATTAAAAAAAAACAATTAATGGGAAACACGCACTGTACATAATTGTTATTATATTGTACAAGATCTACATATTGTAAATAATAATAATATTAATAATGTCTCTTAGCATTTGAGATTCGGCAATTGCCTGCTGAACTTTATATATTAATAATACTCGTTGTATCATCATTATTTCATCATCTATCTACTGTTTATAATTCGAACCACATCGTTTCATCATCCCACCATTTTCATATATCAATCAATCATATATATCAATCATATTTAAAAATATACTCACAATCATTAATAAAAAAAAATTTTTTTTTTGTTTTTGGGTGGAACCTTGAAAAAAATTTTTTTTTACGCACGCACACCACATATTATTATTATGCGTACCCTCATCGAAACAAAAGGTTATAATTAAATATTTACTCATATCACTCGCATCACTCACATAAAGAACCGTCACCTTACAAAAGAAAAAATTGCGGGAAAAAGGAATGGTGTTGCCCTTCCCTTTATATATCTATAAAATACATGCAATTGCATATGTAAATTTTTTTTATATTACTAAAAATCTCTGATACAACAGATTGAAATGACTTACTAATTAAATTTTGTCAATTATTCATTATAAAATAATAATAAATTTAACACTGATTTATAGATTGGTTGATTGGTTGGTTGGTTAATTGGTTAATTGGTTAATATTGGTTAATTGGTTAATTGGTTAATTGGTCAATTTAATTGACTGATGACTGCTATATTCTATATTTAAATTGTTAAACATCAACTGACTGAATTATAAATTAATTGATAAATTTTACTGAAGGCTAATTGCTGCTAATTGCGTTGATCAACTAAACATATATATGTTATTCATCACACACTCCTCCAATTCATTATTAAGATTGTTTGTTCTTCCAATAAATTTACATAACTTACATACAATACATACATATAATGAACTTAGCCATTACGATTTATGTGTGTGTGAGTATATGTATGTATGAAAAATCCAATTACTGTTACTTTTCAGTAACCTTTTCCAATTAAAGAAATGCCTCCACTTTTTTTTTTGAATTTCTGATTTCTGGATAATGATGATTACAAATAAAAATGCTGGTTCATAATTTATTATTCATTCATTAATTGAAATTTGTAAACTAAATCCTATTAAATATTATTACATAAAATTAATTAATATATACATGTGTAATAACAATGAATTAGATGAGAATAATGAAATACCAAATTAATAAAGTAAATAATAGTGAATTTTCTAAATTACAAACCAAAAAAAAAACGTCAAAAATATTAGGATTAGATAATAATGTATTAACATAATATAATGTGCATACGTTGATGCAAGTGTATGTTGTTTGGCTTGTGAGTCAAAACAAACTAATCAACTAATTAACCCAATTAAACGGTTGTTAATTAAGTAAGCCTTTACTATCATAAACATAAACTACTAATAATGCTTACAGTATATTATTATGTGTAAAAAAATGTGGTGGAACTTGCCTTTTGTGTTTCACTCCTCTAAAAAAATTATTATGTAATCCAAAAATAAATAAAAAAAACAAATTTTTTTTGTTGTTTGTTTATATATATATATTTATACCATTTATTACAAAAAATCCTTATTTTTCATTATCTTCTTTGAACAACTTGCTGATTCTCCACCTGATTTCAATAATTTTTCACAGCATTGATACAATTGATTAATCGATTCTTGACATTTTGACTCTTGATAATTGTTTTTTTGAAGACAGGCTTGGATTGCACATGCTTCCTTATGACAACTTTCTTCTTTCTGATGTTGTCGTTGAACTTTTTCCCTGTTGAACATTTTATTTAATTAAATGAAGAACTGTTTTTTTTGAAAATTTCCCTTATCAATCAATATGTATAAATATAATATATGCGTGTGTAAAAATTTGGTTATTATTTACAATTGTGTTTACAACGTTTGAAAAAAAAAAATAGAAATATAAAACATTAATTGTATAATAACATCTGAATGAAAACTTTCTCAGTTATTTAAATATAAAAGAAAAACTTTAAATATTGTGTGTGATGATGATAGTAACGTGATGAATAATAAGCGAATTTCCCATCACATGTATATGCACTTCAATCACATGCCATAGTGTTAGAAACAAACTATTAGTGAATCACTGTATCCAATTAATGAGCAAAAAGACTAGACCTTGGGTCATGAGCTACAATTGATAAATCATATTCCCTTTTTACCAAATAGCATATGGAAGAAGACATAACTTCTTCATCTTCTTTTTCCAAAAATAAAAACTTCCGGACGTTAATCTAGCTGGATACAAAAATGAGTCCTTACGGTATTAGTGATGCAGCAATGATTGGCCTTTTAAACAATTATAATTCAAATATTACTGCAAAAAGAAATTTTTACAGTCAATTGTTATTATAACAGGTTGGGGATGAATAAGATGTAAATTTTCAACATGAATCATCTTGGTAAACTCTGCTTAAACTAAGGTCCTGAATTTCGGTGGCCAAAGAAAATAAATAGGCCGCTTTACTGAAAATTTGTAGTTTTGCCTCCCTGAATTTAAAATACAAGACATAGTTAGAGAAAACCGCAATAGATTTCCCGTTTTTGCTTCATAAATCCCGTGACTACCAGTAATAAGCTCATGTTGTGTAATAAAAAAGCATGATACAAAGTTGCTTTAACAAAAATTTATATATTGATTATGCAAAAAAAGTTTTATTTAAATTATTTTTAATGTTCATAATTATTTTAAATAAAAAAAATTACGCATTAATTTTTTTAATTATATTTTTAGATTATTACAACATGTATTTGACATTTGATGATTACTTTGCCTACAATCATTATTGCTTTTACAGTTGATAATGATAAAGATAATAAATAATGGTTCTTTCTTTCTCTCCAAAATTCATTATTGTCATTATCATCATCATCATCATCATCAGGATAATCTTTAGGATCTAGGATTTCATCATCAATGCATACACGCTTTTGATTATGATTTTTTTTATGGCTAGCTTTATATCTTCCTCCTTTCGTCTCTTCTTTTCCCTCTTCCTCCTCTCGTCCCTCTATTCAATTCTTCTTTTCGAAAGCTACCATTATTATTGGGTTTTCTTGGCTTAGTTGACGTCGAATAATCTTTATTATTATTCAATGATGACGATGACGATGACGACGACGACGATGATAAATATGTTGCCGCTTTCTTGATTGAATTACCACCACCACCACCGCTAATACTACTATTAATACTACGACCATAATCATAATCATAATCATAATCATAACCGTAATCATAATCATAATCATAATCATAATCATAATCATCGCCATTATCATCTCTTCCATTTTTTCTTTGAACACAAAATTTTGTTTTATTCTGTTTTTCGATCATTTCTAAACAATACCCTTGTCGAGGATCATTCCATGCAATAGCACTTTCAGGTGGTGTTCCCCATCCTTCATCATCATCATCAATAACAACTTTTTTATTATTAGCAACTGTCATCGTTTCATTTTTATTCTTAGAGTAAACACTCTTTTTAATCGATTCCTCCTCCTCTTCGACTTCAATTGTATTGTCAGAGTTTGATTGTTCAGTTGCACTGGAATCCCAAATCATATCTATTACTGATCCTGGTTCTGAGATTTTTTTATTGATTTTTACATCATTTAACAATTTAGTTTGATTACTCCATGACGAAGAAGAAGAAGAAGATGTGGTCTTCGTTGTATCAGTAGTTAAACTATCCCAAGTACCAATATCAACTAATATTTCTTTATCATCATTAACATCACAATCATTGTTAATGGAGTCAGGCGAGATGAATAATTTGGAAATATTTTGTTGATGGGAGTCCACAACAACGGCATCTTTATCTTTATTGTTATAGTCGTCATGTCTTGACTGGATTCCAAAATCTGCCCATCCACCTAAATCATCTTCACCTCCAATAGGTTTATTCCATGACGATTTATATCCTTTTATTGTTGTTGATTTTAATTCATTATTTACTTGCTTATCGTTACCCACTTCTACTGCATGATCATTATCATTATTATTATCATAAATTGACCGACTCTGTGCGACTTCTTTACGGTATCCTTTTTTCTCTTTTTGAATATTATTATTATCATTATTGGGTATTGGTAAAAAGTACGATGATGGTGTTGATGGATTTAGTAATTGTTTTGGAGGTGGAGGACAGTGAAGACTAGGTAATTTTATATTAATCGATGACCAACAACTTCGTGTTTTTTTAATAACTGTAGTCCACGAATCATGTCGATGTTGCGCTGATGCAGAAATTGAAGATGTGGTTGCGGTTGCAGTGGCGGTGGTGATAAAAGTGTGTTTTGTATCTGATATTTTTTGTAAATTTTCACCATTCCGCAATTTATCATTTTTGTTATTGTTATTTCTATTTTTATTGGTTGAAATGTCTTGATAATTGTTAGTTTCAGAAAATACTTTTTTAAAGGCACGATCAATAACATTTGTAGGTAAACCCAATTCTAACGACAATTTAATGAGCTTATCTTTTGAAAATTTTAATAATAAAATTTTGTCATCGTCGTCATCGTCATCATCAATACTATTATTGTCATCATCATTGTCATAATGAGCTATAGAATTGCCATTGAAATGTTTCAATTGGAATTTTGCCAATTTTTTTATATTCTCTTTTTCAACAGTGCATTTTGCTTTAGCGTCAATCGAATTATATATTCCATTTTGTTGCTTTTTTTGTTGATATTCTGCAGAAAATTGATAGATAAAAGAATTGATGATTGATGGCATCCCATGCAAAATTATTTTTTCGAGTTTTGGTGAAACATTGACAAACCAATGTATAGCTTCTGGTGCAAATGAACCACATGAATCTATAATAACATGTGCAATTGAATGACTACTACTATTATTATTATTACTAGTTTGATTTCCACCACCACCTAAATATTTAAGAGAGAGATCTGTAATGTTCCTACACTCAACTAAATTTATCAAACAAAGGTTTTTTTGATTAGATGCGATGCTATTGATCGAATCATCAGTTATATATGAACATTTTGAAAGTCCAATATTTTTCATTTTTTTACAATGTATAACGATAGTTGAAATTATATGGTCATCAATTGGTAAATTTTCAAGTATAAGTGTATCCAAATTATGACAAACTGGCCTTAACCATTGCATCTCGTTTGGTAAAATACTAATTTCTTCTTGTAAGCACCTAAAATCAAAATATACTAGTTCCTTTGCATAATATATCACCACTTGAAATGTTTTGATGGTAAGGCCTTTACTTAATAATTGAAGTTTTTGTAGTTTAGGATTTTTTTTAACAAAACTTTCAATGTTTTCATCGATAAGATGAGGACAATTTTGTAATATTAGGTTAGTAAGTTTAGTAAATTTTTTTGCTAGTGAATCAAATCCTTTTTCCGTCATTGATTTAGTCGAAAGTTTAAGTGAAGCAAGCATTGGACATCTGGTTGGTAGTATTTCTGCAAAGCCATCAGACAAATTAAAATCACCATCTAAATCCAACACACAAAGATCATGCATATAATTTATCGATGAATAGAATGCCTTGTGAGTTATCAGTTGAGTCTGATTCTGATCCTGATTTTGATTATTGTTATTGTTATTAACATCATTACCATTATTGATATTAGTATTACAGCCAATCACTAAAATTTCCTTGAGTTTTGGACAATTTTGTGATAATGATTGTAGATGATTATCAGATAAATTCCATCCATAAACTTTAATTTTTTGTACATTTTCACATATCTTTACAAGATTTAATATGAAATTTGGTCTTGATATGACATAGGTTGACATTATTTTATGCTCTTGTCGCTCGGAATTTAATACAGGTAGGAAAATGTCACTAGTGATATTTTCCTCTGGTGCACATAGATTAAGAGATTGAACTCTTAAAGCGCATTGTCTTGATTCTTTAACTGCTCGTAGAAAAAAGCGAAGAGAATCCGGCGTCTTGAAATTTGGCTCTGACCACAACACACTCTTAGCTACTGGTGACCATGTCTTGTTAACTAAACATAAGTTGTATCGATCTAGTTGTGACTCTAAGAATTGTGCTATCTGCTTTATAATTTTGGAATGTAACCTAAGAGCTGAATTGGGCGTAGTAACTACTTCTTCAAGATCCCAAACATTCTTCATTATAACTTTTAATAGAATTATTATAAATAAAATAAGATTTAAAATTTTTTTTTCTGAAAAAATTTTTTTTTTTGCAAAAGCTGGAAAACTAAGACTATCCAGAAGAAATACGCGATTATTATTGGTAGTGCTGATGATCTTCAGAAATTTCTAGATAAATTTTTTGACGCGAAAATTTTTAATCTTGAACATGGACACTTTATAAATGCTTAATGTAATCAATGTAATCATTAAATAATTTTATTATTTAATATTATTATACAAATTTATTTATCAAAGGAAATATTTATTCTTTATCTTCTTCCATAAAATCTGGATTTTTGCAAAGCAAAACAAAACCTTCAAGAATATGAGATAATGATATATCTAAAGATTTTTTTTGAGTTAAGGTGATAATATTATGATAATTATAACAAACAAAATTAACATCTTCGCAACAAAAATAATAAAGGATACATTCTTCTGTTGCTAGTTCTGCACGTTCGGAATGTGCCAATAACACTGGTGTTGAATGTGTTTGAAAGCCCGTAATCGTTTTGGGTCTACCGGCCTGTCCCACAACATCAACTGCCTTTATAATTTTTGGAATTAAAAAAAAAATTTAACATATAGATATATTACTTAAATACATGATTAATAAATATTACCTGTCCTACACGAACTGTGACAGGTAAGCTATTTAAATTTTCATCAAGTGTAATTAAGAATCTAGGATACATTGCTGTTGCCAAATAATACAAAAACCAATGATATTTGCCCAGTATGACTGTAAATTAATAAATTAGTTTTATTAATTATCTTAATAGTAAAACTTTTCACACAATAATTATAGTAATAATAAATAAATTACGCGTTTTAGTGTCTGTAAAAGCAATTAAAGTTATTAAAACTCCGGCTATTGCTACAGGTGACAATAATTGTCTGTCAGAGTGAAACGAGTTTATTGATATGGTTCCTTTACCCATATGTAATAGACCCTAAAACAAATCAATTCAATAAATAATTAACTTCCTTTAACATTGCAATAGATACAAAATAATAAATAATAAATCCAAGAATATTTTACCTGTGCTATTCTGACCATAAATAAACAATTAGCATCTTTATGATAATAAGATGCGAGTTGCCTCAACATTTGTGCTAATCGTGCATTATTTGTTCCAGCTCCAACAAGTCCCATAGCAAATATTGCATTTATGGCAACATCTGCATCATTGTCATGTGAATATTTACTTAATGTCTCTAGGACATTTAGAAGAGGATTTGAGGCACAAAGTAAACCCAAGGCAAGGGGAACCGTGCGACGAATTACTGGCTCTCCATAATGCATCTATTTTAAACAAGTACGTTAAAAATTTTTTTAAATGTGTTTTTATAGTTACAATCATGCATGACATACCAGATGGTTGAACATTCTTAATGCCATCTCTGCGCCAATATCTTCACCCATGGCAATCAAAGCTACACCTAAAACTGCAAATGCTTGATGTAAATCCTCATCTTTCTCTTTATCTAAATGATCATCGCAAATATGCATCATATTTTGCACTTTAAGTACATTTCCAGTTCCTAAAGCAAAGTTTTACATTGTTAAAATAACTTTTATTTTAAACATATAATCACCATTATTTTATGAATTATATATATATATATACACCTGCATATGAGCAAATTTCTACAAGAACTTCCACTTGTTTACTGATAGGATGTTCGATTGCCTTTAAAGTTTCTAATGTTACTTCTGCTGCATCTTGTTTTCCTACGAATAAGTTAATATATAAAAAGAGAATATAGGATTTTTACTACCATATAAGATAATTGATAAAACTTGTTGGAATAAAATACATTAAAATAAATACCAAGATATAAAAGAGCTAAACCAAGTCCCATAAACCTGCCCCATATTTCTTTCAATTGAGAATCTTCTCGTTCCATCATAGTTTGCAATATTGTGCTTGTAATATCACCATTACAATTTCCAACAAATATCAACCCTAGAGACAAAGCTGCCACTGATGCTATTTCCATGCTTAGATTAGTGTCACTAACTAAAGGTAATAAAATATCTTGAATATCTTCCCGATGTGAGCCGGCGTACGCCATTCCAAGACTTTATTAATGATTGAACTAATGTTAGTAAAATTTAAAATTTGATCAAAAATAAACAATATTGAATACAATACTTACCCAACAATGGCACATATTCTCATGTTTAGATTTGAAGACTCGATGTGTTCAGAAAGTAATGCAAATGCAGGATCATTTTCATTACGTACTCCTGTATTAAATAATCCTATTGCAAGAAGAGCACCTGCCTAGATTTATTCATATATTAGTCAATAAATTTAATAATAAAAAAGTAGACTTTGATCATTTTACAAGTAAAAAGGATTTTTATTATACCTTAATATAGTCTTCTTTAGAATATAAATATTTATCAATACATACTAACCCAGCGTCTACATCCCATAATGTAACCAAACCAATCGAGGCAGCAGCACTTAACATTCCTATAATAGTACGATGAGAATAAATGGAAATTTAAACTATATTTTTTTAAAAAAGATTCTTTCTTTTTTTTTACACACCTTGTTCTTTATTTTTGAAAAGCCACGCATTTCCATCTTCTATGGATACTAATTTGTCGGTACAAAACCCTGCATTTACAAATGCATTTACAAATGTTGAAGCTAAATTTTGTCTTGCAGAATCAACATTTCCACTTGTGTAACCAGGACCTTAAAAGAAATTAATTATTATTATTTAAGGTAATGAGAATCATGGAATAGAAATATGATTACTTTATACTTACGAATATTTTCTAAATGACTTTTATATATATCCTCTGGAGTCTTTGGTTCCATTACATCCAATTCCTCCGCTAAAGCAATGAAATGTTTTGATAAATGAGTATTATTAATTATTTCAAGAAGTTCTTCATTATCAACTGGCAAAGTTATATGTTGTCTTGCTAATTGAAAAGCTATTTGTTTTTGCAAAAGGCTTGTTTTTTTTTAAAAAAAAATATATTAATGGTCATTCAAATAAACCGTTTTTTCAAGAATTTCATAGATATAGATTTATTTACGGGTCAAAATTTCCAGCTGCTTCAAAATTTTCTTTTATTAAATCTTCATTTCCTAGTCGAATAGCAAGGGATACTGCTTCGGTAAATTTGTTGTGTTGACAATATATTTGATGGGCTGTTTTTAGAACAGAAACATCATCAGGAAAGACTAACAAATTTACACAGCTTTTTAATCAAGTATAAATAATTAGTACCAGATTATTAAAACAAAAATCTTTGTGAACTAATTAATTAAATTTGAATCTATACCTAACCATGTACCGACACACTCGTGGATAAGTATCTTTATCTACAAATTGTGGTAATTTGTCAATTGCCTCCAGTTCTAAAAATAAATCAACAGCATCAGCTTCGGCGTTATGCTTTAAGAGGAAAGGAACAATTTCTAATGCAAGGTTCATGAGATCTTCGGTGGGTTTATCACTTTCTTGACGATATAAAAATTCTTGTCCAATCTCAGTTGACAAGTGCCTTTTTTTTTATTAATATATATATGTATACATATATATACATATACATATATATATATATATATATTAATATATTGTAAGAATAAAAATAAAAAGAGTATTTCTAATAATAGGGTAATATCATACCGTACGTATTCATGTCCCCAAGAACCAGGTTCTTCACGTGATCCTTCTAATCTATATTTCAAGGAATCTCTTTTTCCTTCGTCATAAGTCATTGCCAATACAGACAAAATGTCAGCCAAAAAATGCTATTTTTTTTTAAAAAAAAGAATAATAATAATATTTGGAAATTAAAACAATTATTATAAATTATATGAACCATTATTAAAAAAAAAGTTTACTTTATTATCACTTTCTGGCCAACTTAGGTAAATCTCAGTTATGGTTGCATAATGAGGTCTCAAGAACTTTAATGGTTTTGGAACGGAGGTCATAGAACTAGTAGATGTTCGAATGTGAACACGAAGGCTCTCCAAAACCGGTCTATGAAGATCGACATTTTCCTCCTTGACAATATAGTCAAAAAAAATTAAAACATTAACTTCCTACAAATTTTTCAATCAAACGAATTCAACATGGTTTAATTGATACCTTCAATCTTTCAATCAGCAATTCTAATTCATCTTTAAGCTGAAGATCTTCTTCTGACTTCAGCGTGAAAAATATAGTATGAAAAATTAGCAACATATACCAAGATATAATAATTTTGATCTCGAATAAGATTATATTAAAAGCCTACCAATTCTTCGTCCTTTTTGTCTTTCTCAGCATCTGCTTTGTTCTCGTTTTTTTCTTTTAACTTTTGTTTATCTTTGTTGGGTGTATCCTCTGATGGTACAACGGTTTTGACTGTTTCTTTAGCCATTTTTTTTAAAAATGATTTTTTTTAAAATAATTTTTGAACGTAATCTGTGAAACCGGACAACTTAAAAATCTGAGTCCGGATTGATCAAAGGATCAAAGGTAAACCAAGTACAAGTGAATTTGTCCGAAATTTTTTTATCGGTAATGAAGAATAGAGATCTGTGTTACCAAAATTACTGATATATAGTTTTTTTTTTTTTTTAAAAAAAAATCTGAAATTTTTTTATTAATAATTTTTAATTTTTATTAATGGTAGGTTAACAATTGTTATAAATTTTTTTTTCATCAATCGATACAACTAAACAATCGAAATAATCAAAACAATCATTAATAAACTTGGATTTTTGTTAGGCCCGTGGACGAAAAAAACATTTAAAACGTCTTAATGCACCAAAACATTGGATGCTAGACAAACTTACAGGAACTTATGTAAGCATCCTTTGCTTGGTAAAAGCTCCTGATAAATATTAAAACCAATTTATCAATTATTACTAAATAGGCACCAAGACCATCACCTGGACCTCATAAGCTTCGTGATTGCTTACCGCTTGTTATATTTTTAAGAAACCGTCTCAAGTATGCTCTTAATAAGAAAGAAGTACAAAGTATTTTGATGCAACGTCTCGTGAAGGTTGATGGTAAAGTACGTACTGATACTACTTATCCTTCTGGATTCATGGGTAACTACTGGTTTAATTTAACTTATTTTATTGCTATTAAAATTTTATACTAATTTAACAATTAAACGAAAAAAAAAGATGTTATCGCTATTGAAAAGACTGGTGAAAATTTCCGATTAATATATGACACAAAAGGACGTTTTACCATCCATAGGATAACTGCAGAAGAAGCCAAATACAAATTAGCAAAAGTTAGAAGAGTTCAACTTGGTGCAAAAGGGATTCCATTTCTTGTTACACACGATGGACGTACCATAAGATATCCAGATCCTCTTATTAAAGTAAATGACACAGTTAAAATTGACCTAGAAAGTTATAAAATAACTGAATTTATTAAGGTAATTGATTGTTTAAAAGGAAAAGCTCATGGTAATTTTGGCGAGGTTGTATAATGTCTCATTTTCTAAAATAAAAATAGTTTGAAGTTGGAAATGTTGTGATGATAACTGGCGGAAGAAACATGGGAAGAGTTGGTATAATCACGTAATTATAATAATTTCTTTATCCTTGAATAATTTTTTTCAATTTAAATAGAATTTTTTTTAATTTCTGCTTTAGTCATAGAGAAAGGCATATTGGTGGTTTTGATATCGTGCATGTAAAAGATTCGCTTGAACGACAATTTGCTACACGTCTAAGCAATATTTTTATTATTGGTGAGGGTAATAAACCTTGGATTTCCTTACCAAAGGGTAAAGGTGTTAAACTTACCATTGCAGAAGAACGTGACAGGTTTGTAAATTAATGTTATGTATCTTGGATTGTAATGATTTGATCTTATCATCATTAATATTTTCCCCTCAATTTAACTAACAGACGCCGTGAAAAGCAAAAGGCATAAAGGCTTTAAGATAAAAATTACAATTTATATAATAGGAAATAATTTTTATTGATTGTTCGTAAAATTAACATAACATGATTTTAAAAAAATTCTGTATGATTCATATAAAAATATTTATATAAATAAATAAATTTTTTTATATTTTAAATTTAAAAAGTTATTTTTATTTGATTTGTTTCTATTTGTTGTACATTGAATTCCTTGTTATATTAAAAGTCATAAGATTTTCTTTCTAAAATGTGTCCAGAAAGTAAAAAACATCGCGTGTAAAAAAAATTTTTATGAAATCCAAAGGAAGTTATGTTATGTTACAAATATTAAAAAAGAAAAAATAGCAATAATAAGAAAAAAATGTTTTTTATGGGCACAAATCTTCACACACATATATATGTGTGTTGTAAATTAAAAAAAAAAAATTTTTTATATCGGTTGCAAATTTTAATTATCTTCTTCAGACGATCCATACTCTTCCATATCTTCTTCCATATCTTCCTCCATATCTTCCTCTATATCTTCCTCTATATCTTCATCTTCATCTGATGCGTACCAAAAATTTTCATCTTGATCATCCTCAACGTTTTTTTTCTGGACAATGAAATCATCAGCTGTATAAAATTGTTATATTAAAATTTGTATCGTTGTTTAACCAAACATCAAACAAAACGAGAATTAAATATATTACCACTAGTGGGTATTTTCAGTCCTTCTGGAATATCTTTTTTTGAAGTCTCGACTTGAGCTATAAATAATCATAAAAAATTTGTAATTAAAATAATTTATAAAATAAAACTCTTATTTTTATAGAAAATCAAATATACATACATCTTACAATTTTATTATATGTATCTCGATCTTTTCGGTACATAACCTTTAAAAAAATATTTTTGCTTTAATTATTTAACTATAACAACAACAACAACAATGATGATGATGATGATGATGATGATAATAATGAATATCTTGAATGAAATACTTACACCTGCATCCTATGTTTATTTGTTCCATTTAAGATGATGAAAAAATGTATGAAAGTAATTGGAAACAACAATAAAAAAATCGATATCAAATAATTACCACATTAGCAGGACTAGAACAATTAGGGTCTCCCATAAGACTAACAATACTAATCAAAATACCTAAATGACAATAAATAAGAAATTTTGGAATCAATTTTAATTTTTTAAATAATTCGACCAATTTTAATGATATACTTACTCTCTACAGATTGAGTGGGATTCCAACGTTCCTATTTAAAATTATTTAGATCAAATTGTCATAATATTGTTGACACTATAAATATTTATAAGATAAAATAAACTTACTGCAGCAGTTTCACCACTAGTTGGATCTTCTACTGGTGGATGAAGAATTGATATACACAATTTACCGTCCGTGTAAACTATACAGAAAAAATCATTAAGTATTCATCTAATAATATTTACCAAAAAAAAATTTTTATACATATATATATATATATATATATATATAGAACAATTGATTACCATTTGGATGGAAAAAATCTTTCTTGAATTTAAATGTTGGTGGATTGTAAGGATAATCTACTGGAAATTTAAGTGATGCCTATTGTTATATAATATGAAAATGGATATAAGTCAAAAAGTTATATTAAAACACATCCATAATAAATCAAGAAATTTTCATACTTTGAAATAACCGCCCTCATATATTGTACCAGGAGCTCCTATGATGCCTACATCCCTAAAAAATTGCACAAAAGTAATTATTTATAAATGTCAATATTTCTTTATTAAATGGTAAAAAAATTTATACCATTCGAAAACATTGCCTTCATCTTGCAATGCTACAGTAAAACCAGGTACTGGATTACGTGTAAGCTCTAAATATCGGTTTAAAATAATTTGAATATATACGTATTAACAAACTATTATCGATATTAAAGAAGAAGAAAAAACATAAGAATTATTAAACCTTTAAATTGTTTTAATAAAATGCTTGCAGCGCTAGACATTTTGAAATTTTGGTTATGTAGATTTGATTTTAGTAAATAAAATAAAACTTGATAAATGTAGTGAAAAAGAAACCAAAAAAACCTTTTGTTGTTATAACACGTGATTAAAAAGTGACACGAATAAATATAGTCAAATAGAATAATAAATCTTTGTTACCGTTACATTAATAATAAAAAAATTTCATTTATTTTTTTATTTTTTAAAAGAAAATTTTTTTTTGATAGACTTGATCAAAATTCTATATTATGCATTATATAGAGAGGAAGATCATTTTCTTGTATGTTTTAAAACCATCAAAATTTGTCGCTCATCGGAATGTAATTTTTCTTATTATTATTATTACAATGGACTCAAAAAATCCGTTGATGCTTTGAAATCCGCTATGCCGAGAGTTTACTTAAGAGTCTACCCACAATAGGTATATGTGTGTATATATCACGACGCGTCTTTTCGAAGCTGTGATGATTGGAGCTTCGATTTGGTTTCCAATAATCAAATATTTATTTGAAAATTTTTTTTAAAAAGTAGTGGTTGTACTCATTTATTTTATTTATTATTATTATTATTCAATTAGATTTAATATTCGGATAGTCATTTGGTTATTAATAAAGTATCCAAAGAAATTTATTAACAAGAATACATTCTATCAAAATTATCAATATATTCAATTTCTTCAAATAAAAATGGATTAAGTTTTTCGTTGTATTTTCAACTCAACTAAATGAACACTCACATTGCAGGTACACGCATACACACATAAGTATTTAGTAGTCAACATTGATTGGAAAAGAGGAAATCTATAGTGAATCATACCTCTAATCTATTTCTTCTATTCATCAAGTCCTGATATAAATTTCTTGCCTATTAAAAGTAATGTTGGTTTATATATGGGACACACTACAACTAATACTAACACTAAATGAACATTTCAAAAATGATGAAATGCCACAACTGTATTATTGAGATAATGAATGTAGTTGTGATTAAAAAAATCTAGTGCCTCTAATTTAGTTTCTTAATCAACCTAGAAACTCCCAATAGATAAAGCACAAACCCAACATTCAAACAAATGACATTCTTCTATAGTGCAAGTCACTTAATCCCACAACTTTCTGTGCCATGCCGCCAATTTTGAGAAATCAAAAATGCAATA